CTAACTAACTCAAAGGGGTTTTCAGTGATTCTTACGACAAATGGAGTCAAGAGGGCTAAAAGTCTTATCTGAAAACCTGGAAAAACTGAATTAGTTTAGTGTGTTTTTTTATATATATTAAGCATTTTATGTGACAAACAATCTTTCTGTTATATATATATATATATATATATATATATATATATATATATATATATATATGTGTGTGTGTGTGTGTGTGTGTGTGTGTGTGTGTGTGTGTATTTGGGCAGCGAATGGTCTTTAAGGCAAATGTTATGTAACAACAGATAATTTTCTCCATTAATTTTCAGATCATTTTTTAAATTTACGAACAGGTCTTCTTAGAAAGGGAGGAAATTCTGAAATCTCTAGGGCAACTAATGAGGAAGGGGGCTTTGGAAAAGCTGATACTCACAGGGACAATTTGAAGACAAGGGAAAACAACGCATGATCATCTTAGCGAGTTTAAATAAATTGCTGGCGAACCAAGGTTTAGGGGAGATAGCAAAAAGACAAAATCTATTTAAGAGCTACAATGGACAGGAAATTGTGGAGAGCCATAAACGCATATAGAAAAAGAAGAATATTTCGGATAGATGATTATATCTCAGCTCTTATCCGCAGCTTCGAGACAGAACACTTTCCTTACCACGTGGGTTGTTCCAAGCCGTGCTGCCTCCTGCACATTCCCAATGATATCAGATATCGGCAAGGTGTCCTGTGACGTAGAAAGATTCCTGGAAATAGTCCCGAGTGCACCAACCGCAAAAGGACCGGCCTCTTCTTCAGCTTGGTTAATTTCTCTGGTCTGTCCTGTGTACTTTAACATACCATACAAGCATTCCTGATACTTTTTGATCAGACCTTCTATCTTTATTTTTATGTGCCGTATCATTTCAAGACGTAAGTGATCATGGCCCTCCAATTCTCCCTATCCCTTGTGGATCTCAACAGGTTTTGTATTTCTGACATCTCTCCCAGACCACGCCCCGCCATCCACCTGCCCAACCCCGCCACATATGTCATGCGTTACCTTCCCGTCGTTTTTTCATTCTTTTCGTCCCGTGAGTATCAGATTCTCCAGGCCTTCCTTTCTCATCACGCGTCCCAAAAATTTCATCTGCCTCTCATGTTAAGCATAAGCTTCCACCTTGTTTGCATCCTCTCCAAGACCTCATCGTTGCTCACATGCTCGGTCCATAATATCCTCAGCATCCTTCTGTAGAACCACATCTCCGCCGCCTCGAGTCTCTTCTTCATCCTTGAGGATGCCGTCCAACATTCGCTGCCGTATAGGAGGACATGTTACGCAGAAGCTCAGTATTCTTTTCTTTGTCACCAAAGAAATCCTCCTGTTTCGCAGTACTCTGCTCAGCTTCTGAAATGCATCCTTGGCCATCCCAATCCGTCTTCGGTTCCCAGCGTCGCACCTACCGTCCTCCGTCAGAACACTTCGCAGATACTTAAACTTCCGCACATATTTGATTTTAGTGTCCTCGACCTTCAAATCGCATTTTGAGCTCATCCTTTTACTGATGACCATGCTTTCTGTCTTCATGCGGGTTATAGTTAGTCCTTTCGTCTCGCTATCCCTCGCTAACTTCTGTAGGTTTTGTAATTTCTTTTCCGTGTCTGCTATCAGTACATTGTCATCTGCGTATCTTATGTTGGTAAGATTGTGGCCGCCAATGATGAATCCTGGTAAGATTTCCAATTCTCTCAGAATTACCTCGCTGTACAGGTTGAATAAATCCGGTGAGAAGACACATCCTTGCCTTACGCCTCTTTCTATTTTTGTATATTCGCTGAACTCATTCTTGATGCGAATACCTGCTGTTTGTTGCCAATATAGGTTCTTGAATTGAATTGTCTCACTCGAGATAATTTAATCGTAGATATAGCATACGTTGTACTGTCGATGAATCAAACAAAAAAAATTAGTTTTTGAAAGTGATTTTCTGGACTGGTGACCACTTACGAGGAGACAAAATGGTAGGAATAATCTTCATATCTCCAGTTGTGATACTAGTATTAATTTTTTTTTTTAGTTTTTTGCTTCCATCACTATTATTATTATTATTTATTTATTTATTTATTTATTTAGGATCCTCTCTGGTTCTTCGATGTTTTGGTCGGGTGATGAAGATTATATCTCAACTCCTACACGCAACTTAGAGACACAATTCTTTGCACAACACATGAGCTGGTTCCAAGCAGTGCTACCATCTTCGCACTCCTAAGGATGCCATATATCCCCAATGCGCCTTGCGAAGCAGAAAGATTTCCGAAAATAGTCCAGAGTCCGCTAACCACAAAAAGCAAAATTTTAGACGCTCCTTAGCATATTTCTTTTATTTTCCTTTGTTTTGGTAGCTGATCATTTTATTAAGAGCAACAAAATAGAGGAAATTGTGGAGAGCCATGAAGAACACATAACTGTTATAGTGGGACACACCTATTCTTTAGTTAATAGACTCTCCCACCTATAATAAGTAGGAGT